CAGGACTAGAACCCCGGGGTGCTGGCGCCGCAGGCAGAAGATAAGCCTAGTGAGCTGCTGCGCTGGCCCCCCAAATTTTGACATATTGTTTTTATTATTATTTAATTTAAAATACTTTCTAATTTTCCTTGTGAATTTTGATCCATGGATAGTTAGAAGTGTGCTGGTTACTTTTCTTTTTTTTTTTTTTTTTTAAAGATTTATTTAAAGTCAGAGTTACACAGAGGAGAGGCAGAGAGAGAGAGAGAAAGAGAGATTCCATCCGCTGGTTCACTCCCCAATTGGCCACAACGGCGGGAGCTGGGCTGATCTGAAGCCAAGAACCAGGAGCTTCTTCCGGGTCTCCCACATGGGCATAGGGGTCCAAGGACTTGGGCCATCTTCTGCTGCTTTCTCAGGCCATAGCAGAGAGCTAGATCAGAAGTGGAGCAACAAGGACTCAAACCAGCACCCAAATGAGATGTCAGCACTGCAGGCATCTTTACCCGCTATGCCACAGTGCTGGCCCCACAATTACTTTTCAACTATTTGATATTTCCCCTGAGTAATTTCATTATGGGCAGAGAATATTCTGTATGATTCTAATCCTTTCAGACTGTAGGATTGTTTTTATGATCTAGCACATAGTTGATTTTGGTACGCCTTTTCCATTTATACTTGAGAAGAATATATATCCCATTGGATGTAGCATTCTGTATCAGTTTAGTGAAGTTGTTTGATAGTGTTGGCTCGAATTTTTTTTTTCTTTTTTTTAGCCGAAAAAAGTCTGCTTATTATCAGTTACTGAGAAAGTAACTGGGATTTTCCTTTGTGAATCTCTGTGTCCTTTCAAGTCTTTCCTGTATAATTGTAGTTCATTGGTTCTTTTTACATGTTTATTTTCATATACTTAAAAGAGCAACAGAGAGAGAGAGACTGACAGAAAAAGAGAAATCTTACATCTGCTAATTCTTGCTCCTAATTCCTGCAAGAGTCAGGACTGGACCAGGTGGAAAGCAGGAGCTCAGAACCCCATCCAGGTCTCACGTGGGTGGCAGAAGCCTACGTATCATCTGCTACCTCTCAGGATGCATTAGTGGAAGCTAGATGGGAAGCAGAGCAGTCAGAACTTGAACTAGCAATCTAATTTGGGATGTGGGCATCTGGCCATCCCTGTGTTTTTGTATTTAAAGTGCTGAAGGATTTTCCCATCTTGTTTGGGGTTCATCTGACCCTTCTGGCTCTGTGTTTGTCAATATTTCAACCACTGTATTGTCATATACTTCCTCAGTCTCTTTCTCTCCTTTTAAAATTCTCCCCCATCTTTTTCAATGCTGTGTTTATAAAATTGAGATTAAATGGAATATATAGTTCTTACTGTATATGAGTGCTATTTTCTTGAATCACAATTTTTTTAAATAATTAAAGCAGTATATATTTATCATAGAAATTTCTGTACAGCAGTTATAAACAAAGGAAATAAAAATTGCATAGAATATTCCTTGTGCAGATAGGAAATTTTTTTTGACAGGCAGAGTGGACAGTGAGAGAGAGACAGAGAGAAAGGTCCTTTTCCGTTGGTTCACCCCCACAGTGGCCGCTGTGGCTGGCGCGCTGCAGCTGGTGCACCGCGCTGATCCAAAGCCAAGAGCCAGGTGCTTCTCCTGGTCTCCCATGGGGTGCAGGGCCCAAGGACTTGGGCCATCCTCCAGTGCACTCCCGGGCCACAGCAGAGAGCTGGACTGGAAGAGGAGCCACCGGGACAGAATCCGGTGCCCCGACCGGGACTAGAACCCTGGGTGCCAGCACTGCAGGCAGAGGATTAGCCTAGTGAGCTGCAGCGCCAGCTGCGCAGATAGGAAGTTTAACATGAATTTATGTTATAAAGTTTTTAAGTCATTTTTGTTAAAAAAAAAAAAAGATTATTTATTTGAGAAGAAGAGTTAACAGAGAGAGGGAAAAAGAGAGAGAGGTTTTCTATCTGCTGGTTCACTCTCCAAATGGCTGCAACAGCCAGTGCTGGGCCAGGGCAAAGCCAGGAGCTTCTTCCGGGTCTCTCATCTGGGTGCAGGAGCCCAAGCACTTGGGCTATCTTCCACTGCTTTCCCCGTGCTATTAGTAAAGAGCTGGATCGAAAGTTAAGCACCTAGGATTGGAACAGGTGCTCCTGTGGGATGCTGGCACCGCAGGCGGAGGCTTAACTTACTATGCTGCAGTGCCAGCCCCTGTTGTGAAGTTTTAGTCCTACAGAATCTGTAATTTTTCTTGTGATAAACATGTAAGAATTTACCATGTTAACCATTTTTAATGTACAGTAATGTTAACAGTGCATATATATTTTCGTACTGTACCCAGGATTCTGTTTCAGGTGTTGTTGAATAACTAGCCTCAAGTGAGAGTTGCCTGGAAGAAAGCTTTATTGTGTCAAGTGAAGGAGACAGTGGGAAGGTATAGTTTCTCATAGAAACTGCCTTCCTGAGAAGCAAATTATAGCAAGGTTAGGAAAGAATCCAGGATGTAGAAAAGAGGGAGCGGGAGGGCTCTTTGTGCTCAAGCAAGGGGTTACATGTTCATACATTGTATGTTGAAAATCATGAGTTGAGGCTGGCGATGTTTCTGCTTAAGCCATGGCTTGCATCCTGTATGGGCGCTGGATCGACTCCCAGCTGTTACTCTTCCAATCCAGCTCTTTACTAATGCACCTGGGAAAGCAGGGAAGATGGTCTAATTCCCTGGGTTCCTGTACCCATGTGGGGAACCTGAAAGAAGCTCCTGGCTCCTGGCTGCAGCCTGGCACAGCCCTAGCCGTTTCAGCCATTTGAGGAATGAACCAGCGAATGGTAGATTCTCTCTGTCTCTCTCTCTTTCTCTGTGTGTGTCTGTCTTTCTCCCCCTCTCTGTTTCTCCTCTCACTCTCTGTAACTCTTTCAAGTAAATAAATAATTCTTAAAAAAAAAAAAAATCCAGACTCAAACTTCTTATAGTTTTTCTTGGTTGACTAGTGATCTGCCTCCCTCTGAGTACATGTTGTAAGATAAGCTTTCCTGGAACATTCTCTGAAAAACAAGCTCTGACAAGCAAACTGTTTGAGATTCTCTGCCTCTGTTCTTGTGCCCTTCTCTAGCCTAAATCCTACACTCTTAACTGCAGATCCCTAGAATTTTCTCATTTTTTGAAACTGAAACTCCTGGAGGTTGGTGGGGATGCAGCATTTGCTCAGCGTTAGTAACCCAGTTGGGATGCTCTCATTATGTATAGATGTGCTGGTGTTCTACTCCTAGCTCCTCTCCTGATTCCAGCTTTCTACTGATGATCAACCTGGAAGGCAGGTATAGCTCAAGTATTTGTGACCCTACCACCTGTGTGGGAGAACTGACTAGGGTTCTGAACTTCAGCCTGGCCCAAGCCCTTGCTGGTGCGGACATTTGAGTAGTGACCCAGTGGATGAGAGCTTTCCCACCTTTCTGTGTTCCTTTCTTCCACTCAAATAAATAAATAAATATTTAGAAAGTCAAATTCTGTATCTGTTGAACCACAGCTCCCCTTTTTCCCTTTCCCTAGGCTCTTGACAACTACCATTCATTATACTTTCTATGAGTCTGACTACTTTAGATCCCTCATGTAAGTGGAATGGTGCAGTCTTTATATTTTTTTTGAGTTTCACTTAGCATGCCTTCAGATTTCATCCATTTTGTAGCATAAGACAGAATGTGTTATTAAAGACTGAATCACTTTCCATTGCCTGGACATAAATAATTTTCTTGTCTTTCTGTCTGTTCATGGATATTTAGATTGTTTCCATCTCTGAACTATTGTGAATAATGCTATAATCAACATGGGTATGTGTGCCTTTCTCTCATCTCTTTCTGAGATAATAATGATAGTTATTGTACACTGCTTGATACTATTCCACACATCTTAGATGCCTTCATCTTGTTTTTCTGCTTTTTTTTCTTTTTGTAAAATCCCAATATTTTAAAATTTAAATTTGGCAATGAGTTTTCACATATGGTGATAGGGCTAGTGTTAATATACCCATAATATATATACTTTAGAAAAATATTCACTCTTTGAGTGGGTAGTTATAAAAAGGTGTCCCTTCCTGCTTCAGTATGGGTGCCTGGTTTTAGTCCTCATGGTTCCTATTGGCTGTATACCTGTATATTATGTGTGTAGCTGGGCACAGTGCATCTGTATAAAAAAATTGTAAGTGCTTTCTTTTAACGGATGAGAGAGACAAAATTTCTAAATTCATATATAGCTACTGTTAACACTTTTTTTTGGTTTGTTTATAAAAGTGGTGCTATTATGTTTGTCCTGTTTCATTATAATTTAACATCTCACAGAAAGTCTATTAATGATGAATTTCTATGAAAATTTTTATGTATGTTTCATTTATCAAACAGTCTGAGGGGCCATAAGGGAGTAGTGGTTGGAGATAGTAAAACTAAGCTGTTTTGTAGCTTTTGTGTTCTGTTGCTTTGCATACAAAAAGTACTGAAACATGTTGGTGGAAAGTTCAAGTTTCTTAAGGAAAAGTAAATCTTAAATTTTTTATTTTTATTTTTTTTAAATTTTGACAGGCAGAGTGGACAGTGAGAGAGAGAGACAGAGAGAAAGGTCTTCCTTTTGCCGTTGGTTCACCCTCCAATGGCCGCCGCGGCCGGTGCGCTGCGACCCATGCACCACGCTGATCGATGGCAGGATCCAGGTGCTTTTCCTGGTCTCCCATGGGGTGCAGGACCCAAGCACTTGGGCCATCCTCCACTGCATTCCTGGGCCACAGCAGAGAGCTGGCCTGGAAGAGGGGCAACCGGGACAGAATCCGGCGCCCCGACCGGGACTAGAACCCAGTGTGCCAGCGCCGCAAGGCGGAGGATTAGCCTAGTGAGCCGCGGCGCTGGCCTAGTAAATCTTAAATTTATAAAAGTGGTTTATCTGTAACTTCAGGAACAAGTTACCTTGTGAAGCAAGGTGTGGTATTATGAAAGAATTAACATTTTCTGATTTTTGTTTTATAGGTATACTGCAGCATCCAGATGGCACAGTTTTAAAACAGTTACAACCACCTCCAAGGGGCCCAAGAGAGCTGGAATTCTATAATATGGTAAGTGGTGTCAGATTTTCTGTGTTCAGGGTGTTTTTCAACGTTTTCTTGTATTGACTCAAAATAAGAAATATATTTGGAGGCTACCATTGTGGCATAGCGGGCTGAGCCTCACTTGGAATGCTGCCATACCATATGGGCATGCTTGCTCCACTTCAAATCCAGCTCCCTTGTAATGTGTGTGGGAAAAGAGCAGAGGATGTCCCAAGTACTTGGGTCCCTGCTACTTACATGGAAGACCTGCTTCTGGCTCCTGGCTTAGGCCTGGTCCAGCTCTGCAGGTTGTGGCCATTTGGAGAGTGAACCAGGAGGTGGAAGATCTGTCTGTTTCTCTCTGTCTCTCCTTTTCTCTGTAACTCTCCCTTTCAAATAAGTCTGTGAAAAATATATATATTTGACAGTGTATCCTCATTTACTATGTGTAACAGACAAAAGCTTCATGAAACACAGTGCTTTAGAATGAGGTGCTAAAAATATATAGCTGTAAAAAATAATCACAATATATGCATCTGATGCTCGACCACTTAATTATATGAAACAGACTCTAATATATTAAATGTTGAGAATTCAACACCTCATTTTCATCAATGGTCAGACCATCTAGACCAAAAAAAAAAAATCAAACATCAAAATTAAACTGCACTATAGGGGCCAGTACGGTGGCATATTGGGTAAAGCCACTCACCCCCTGCGGTGCCGGCATCCTATATGGTTGCCAGTTCAAGACCCGGCTGCTCCATTTCCAATCCAGCTCTTTGCTATGACCTGGGAAAACAGTGGAAGATGGCCCAAGTCCTTGGGCCACTGCACCTATGTGGGAAACCTGGAAGAAACTCCTGGTTCCTAGCTTAGGATCAGCCCAACTCTGGCTGTTGCACCCATTTGGGGAGTGGACCAGTGGTTGGAAGACCTCTCTCTCTCTCTCTCTCTGCCTCTCTGTAACTGTGTGTTTCAGACAAATAAATACATCTTTAAAAAAAACCACAATGCTTGTCTTTATGTGATATAATCTAGTATTACCTATTCTATGTGATTTCTTAAAGATTCTTATTTGAAGCTGCTAAAATGATGACAGTGTATAGATTTTTTTTTTTTTTTTTTTTTTTTGGAAAAGTCAGAGCTTCGCAGAGAGAGGAGAGGCAGAGAGAAAGAGAGGTCTTCCATCTGCTGGTTCACTCTCCAACTGGCCACAATGGCCGGAGCTGCGCTGATCCGAAGCTAGGATCCAGGAGCCAGGACATTCTTCTGGGTCTCCCTTGTGGGTGCAGAGGCCCAAGGACTTGGGCCATCTTCTACTGCTTTTCCAGGCCACAGCAGAGAGCTGGTTTGGAAGTGGAGTAGCCGGAACTCGAACTGGCATCCATATGGGATGCTGGGCAATGTAGGTGGGGGCTTTACCTGCCATGCCACAGCGCCGGCCCCCAACAAAGTATGGATTTGACCTGCAGTTTGAAAAACACTTCACTGAGAGGCTTTTTGTAGTTCTCAGAAATGCTGCATTAGATGTTTTTACTATTTTAAGAATTTCTGAAAGTCTTCCATGTCCTGATATGTGCTATGCCTCTCCACAAAGAGAAAAGGGCTGTGCTTCACATCTCATGCACCGTGTGACTGGGAATAGTTTTTAGTTCATTCACAGTGTACTGCAATCACCACTAACACCAAAGCATTCTCATCACCCCTCAGGAAAACCTCTACTTGTTAAGCCAGGTTGTAGTATTTCTCCCTCCCTCCACCCCGTTAATTGTCAGTCTGCTATCTGTGGATTTTCCTATTCAGGGTGTTTCATATAAATGAGTCCTGCAAAATGTGACCTTTGGCATTTGTTTAATAGAATGTTTTTAAGGTTCCTCTACTTTATGGCATACATCAGTGCATCTTCTCTTTTGATGGCTGAGTTTCCTTATCCGTTGAGCTGTTGATGGGCATTTAAATTGTTTCACCTTTTGGCTTTTGTTAATAGTGGTACTTTGAACATTCATGTTGAAGTTTTTGTTTGAATATTTGTTTCCAATTTATTTGGATGTATTTTTAGGAATGTAATTGCTGGATCCTATAATAATACACTTAATTTTTTGAGAAACTATCAAACTATGGCTACACAAAATGGATACACCATTTTAAATTCCTACCAGTAGTGTATGAGAGTTCTCCACATCCTCATATTATATTATTTTTTTCAATGGCCACCCTCTTGAATATGAAATGTTATCTTATTATGACTTGTTTTGATTTTTATTTCTTTGATAGCTAATGATATTAAGCATCTTTTCATATACTTGCTATTTTTGTATCTTCTGCAGAAAATGTCTATTCAGATATTTTGCCCATTTTTAGAGTTCTCATTTTTTAAGTTGCAGAGTTCTTTACATACTTATTCCTCTCAGATGCATGGTTTGCAATATTTTTTTGCAATACTGCAGGTTGTCTTTTCTTTCCTTCCTTGCTTCTTCCCTCTCCTCCCCTCCCCTCACCTCTCCTCTCTTCTCTTTCCCTCTCTCTTCCTTCCTTCCTTCCTCCCTCCCTCCCACCTCCTTCCCTTTCTTTCCTCCTTCCTTTCAACAGAAAGAACTCTTCCATCTGCTGGTTCACCTCCCAAATGGCTGCAAAGGCTGGAACTGGGCTGCTCCTAAGCCAGGAGCCAGGAGCTTCTTCTGGATCTCCCATGTAGATGCAGGGGCCAAAGTACTTGACGATCCCTCTGCTGCCTTCCCAGGTGCATTAACAGGGAGCTGGATCAGAAGTGCAGCAGCTGAGGGCCCTAACTGATGCACATATGGAATGCTGGCTTTACCCACTAAGCCACAGCACTAGCCCCAGCAGGTTGTCTTTTCATGTTGTTGGTCGTGTTCGTTGAAGCACAAGCTTCTAAAATTTTAATGAATTCTATTTTATTTCTCTTCAGTTGCCTTTGCTCTTGGTATCCTGTTTAAGAAACTTTTGCCTAATCCAGTGTCATAACAATTTATACTTGTTTTCTTCTAAAAGTTTTATAGCTTTAGCCCTAAAATTTAGGCCTTTCATCTGTTTTTGTGTATGAATGAGGAAGGCATCCAACTTAATCCTTTGGGTTTCTAGTCCTAACATAGTTTGTTGAGCTGACTATATTTTCCCACCCTGAATTATCTTAGCAGCCATGTCTAAAATCAGTTGGCCATAAATATAAAGGAAAAATGCTTAAAGGAATTCTGTCTAGTATTGCATGAAGGAATGAATGAATTTGGAATTGAGAGGCAATAAATTGATAATTGGTACAGTATGCTTTATAGGCTTTCAAATTTATTCCATTGATCTAAATGTCTATCCTTTTTTTATTGATTACTTTAGCTATATAGTGAGTTTTGAAATTGTAATGTAAGAATCCTCCCACTTTGTTCTTTTTCAGATTATTTTGGCTGTTAAAAAAGACTCAGTTTGAAACAGAAAATAATATTAGCATAAAATGAAAACTCTTCGTGTGCTGGAAAACTACTAACTACTCTTTTCAAGTTAACAGTTTATGGCCCTCCACAGCACAGTCCCATATTCACCCTTGTGACCTGGCGATAGAGTCAGTTGCTTTAAGCATTTCTTTCTCTCTTTTTTGAAGGAGTGGGATAGGGCATATGTCGTCGTCGTTGTCGTCTTCTTTTCCTTCTTCTTCTTTTGGTTTTTTCTTTAAAAGATTGATTTATTGGAACCAGCACTGTATAGAGTGAGTAAAACTGCAGCCACAATGCAGGCATCCCATATGGGTGCCAGTTTGAATCCTAGTTGTTCCACTTCCGATCCAGCTCCCTGCTAGTGTGCCTGAGAAAGCAGTGGAAGATGCCCAAGTCCTTGAGTCCTTCACCCACGTGGGAGACCCAGATGAAGCTGGCTCTTGGCTTTGGCATGGCCCAGCCCTGACCCTTGCAAGCATTTGGGAAGTAAACCAGCAGATGGAAGATCTCTGTCTAGCTCTCTTTCTCTCTCCCTCTGCCTCTGCCTTTCCTTCTCTAACTCTGACTTTTAAATAAATAAATAAATCTTAAAAAAACACATTTATTTGAAAGAGGTCTTCTATCTGCTGGTTCACTCCCCACATGGCTGCAACAGCTGAAGCTGGGCCGATTGGAAGCCAGGGGCCAGGATTTTCTTCCAGGTTTCTCATGTGGGTGGAAGGGCCCAAGCACTTGGGCCATCTTTCACTGCTCTCCCAGGCCACTATGGGGAGCTGGATCGGAAGAGGAGCAGCTGGGACTCAAACCAGAGCCCATATGGGATGTTGGAATCACAGGTGGAGGCTTAACCTATTATGCCACAGTACTGGCCCCTGTAAGTATTTCTCTTACAATGAGTGCAGTGTTTATCTCAGTAGAGTGCCAGAAGGGCACTGTGAGTTTAAGGTCTTTTTTTTTGCCGATTCCATCTGCTGCTGATTCCATCTTCTGCCCCATTGGTCAGAAGTGAATGGTTTTCTGGCATAACCACATATCTGGATGTGCAGATACTCAACAAACTCAGAGATGAACATAGAGGGCATCCTGAAAACACTGGTACCCTGACTTATTTTTACATTTGCTTCTTAAGGGCATGTCTCTTGCCACATCCTTGCATGGACATCATATACTCCAGGCTTTCTGCCTACTTTGATTCTTGAATTTCCATTATGTGATCATGTCTCTGCTCACTGGCTATGTCTTATCTGTTCCCTGAATGGTTGCTTCATATGTCACTATTGAACATGGGCCAGCTTTGGGCAATTGCGGACTTCTCATTTAGTGGTTACAATGAAAGCTTCCTTTTTTAAAAAAGATGGATTTACTTGAAAGGCAAAGTTAGAGGGAGAGACAGAGGGAAGGAGAGAAGTCTTCTATCTGCTGTTTCACTCTCCAGATGTCTGGGGCTGATCCTGGAAATTCATCTTGCTCCCCGAGGTGAGTGGCAGTGGCTGAAGTTCTTTGACCATCTTCTGCTTTCCTACACACATTAGCAGGGAGCTGGATGGAGATGGAACAGCCAAGACTCAAGCCCTGCAC